GAAAAAATAGTTGTTGTTGGTAGCTGTTATGGCAATGGTTAGATTTTATAATGGAACATCCCTAAAATATTGTATTAAATGTTATATATGTATGTTCAGATGATTGTCGTTAATACTAGAGATTAGAATATTTATAACAAATAACGATTTCCAATAGGACAATTGGTCTTTTAGGTTACGGCGCTAAGTTTTTCACATGTAAGCTTGGACGCTGAGGAGTTTTTTAATATCGGACGTTATTAATATCTCCGGTTAAGAAATCTTCTCCTAACTCAAATTATACCTGAATGGTCAAAAGAATGTGATTAGAAGTCTTATCTCTTTGCCAGAGACAGAAATGACTTTTGTTTCATCAGATGCATTAATGTTATTTGATGGTATTTGCTTAATAGGTTTTGGTTAAGATATTCTCTGTCGTGTAGAGGATGAATATTTATTCTAAGTTATAAAAAAAAAATTACATGGAGTGAGTTAAATAATAATGTGTAAAAAAAGTGATAATTAAGAGCTCTAAAAATAAGAAGAAAATAGAGTTTAGTGTTATTAAAATAAGATAATGAATTCTTATTGGAAATCATTCAAAGATGCAACAAAATGATATAGTTTAGCTTAAACGATTAAAATAGCGTTGTTAAAGATTGTTAAAGAATTTAATAGATCATAATGATATTGTTAAAGAATTTAATAGATCATAATATAAATCATAGTTTTAAGTTCCATGAAAACAATCATCTGTGAATAATTTCGATGCTTACTGACTAACGAAGTATGAAAGTATACCCTACACTCTTTTATGAGAAAATTATTAATTAAAAGTTTTTGTTAATGCTACACTCCAATTAGTACACTTGGAAACTTAAATACCGGCAATTTTTGTATTATGTAAGATTTGGGTATTACTGTAAACTCGGTTGATTTTACACTATTTCGATCCTTTAAGGAAATGTGGACTGACTACAACTGACTTAGATCCAATTTATGTGTAGTAAATTATAAGATTTTGTTGTTTTAGTTTTTGGAAACTTATAACTTCGGGGCATTGACAATTTATTTTTATCAATAATAGACAAGAATTCATTTGCTTGTCAAAATCATTTAAAAATTATTCATATCTTGGTGGGTTCAAAGACGCCACCCCCGCAAATCGAAAGGAGGTTCATGAACTCATTTAAAGCCTTTCAAAACTTTGAATTGTCTGTATAAAAAAATCCGTTTTACAAAGAGCAATAAAGGCGATTACAAAAAAAGTTGCAACAAACGAAAAATCGTGCCACACCAGCAGCGAAATTCGTTTGGTAAGAAATGTTCAGACCGAGAGGTTAACTTTACAAAACCCAACGAATGCAGTGCATTTTGCCATTTGCCGAACGCGAATATTGCAACTAAATTTCAGGTTGCAACGTGGCACAAATGTTGCAAACGGCACAGCGCAATTGCTGCATTAGTGGCAAATAAAATAAAATTTATATTTGTGTTGCAAATTAATTGAAGCGCACATGTGTTTCTGACGATAAAACTTGGCAATTTGTTTGCAACTGAGTACGCTGTCCGCCGTAGATACGTGCAGACAAACGTACGTAAAATTGGTAAAGTATCTATGAGATATGAAGTTGTGTATACTTCGCTGAATGCTGTGTGTGCTGCACATTTGACTCTTTGGCATTTACTGCGTTCTTTCTTGTGCATTTTGAATGTCTCGCCATGCATTTACTTCCTGCATTGCTTGAAGTCCCTGCCAACTTTGGCCGGCAGTTAGACGTTCACAACTTATGAGCTCCTATGAATTTCCAAACTGAAGTACGCCCACATGTTGCACGTTTTCATTTCTATAATATGCTCGTACTGCAACATTCGTAACGTCTATCACTCGTAAAAAATGGATACGTTTGTTTGCCGCGTTGTTGTAACTTGCCTCTTATGCAAGACATTTGCTGCTGACTCCGTTCGATTCAGCTCATGTAATCTGTAGTTTGCGCGGTGAGAGGTTTAACCTATTGGCAACGACAATGGTTACGGCGGCATTTCGTTAGAGATGACTATCGGCCTTTAAAGTCTGTGTGGCGAGATCCTGACGCCATTGTGGGTTAGCGAATTGTTTTTCACAATTACGTTAGTTTTACTTCACTTCACTGCGATTCAAAATAATTTAGTTAATTTCACTTTAATGCTTTTCTTTTCTTTCCAAAACATAAATTGTTTTCGCAAAAAATACTTTTGGCAGAGATTTGCTCTTAAATGATATTTATAGTTATTGATTCAATATTTGTTTGCGTCTATTTGGCCTGAACAGCCGTACATCAGTGAGGGATTGGGCTTCTGATGTAAGGGAAGAAACAACCATTAATATTCAGCAGAAATTTTTATAAATATTACGTGACAAAACTTTATCATTTGAAATTAGTTCCTTGCAATGTCGTTCATACATGGTTCCTGTTTGCAAGTTCATATTAAAGTCTCAAAAGACACGTCTATAAACGCATAATTGTTAATATTCCCAAAGGTACTTACGCTAGTCTTAGTAATAACAAATAATAATAATTAAATATAATTATAGAAAAATGTAGATCTTTATGACATTTATTTAAAAGGAACACTGTTACGACTAATATGAGGAAGCATGAAAAGTCTCGTCATCGTGACCAAAGCTTATTCATATTGTGATATTGTGATTTGATAAGGACTAGTTAAAAACACCAACTTTATTTTTTTAATGAATGAAGTTACAGTTTATATCATTTTAGGAATAACAAACCCCAAATGTAAGAAAATAACAAAGTTTAGCGTTGCTGGAGCTTAAATATTTTTCACGAAAATTTGTTGAGAACTTATTATTAGAAGTTTGCCAAACTAAAACTTCTATTCAGAATTATCATTCAAGTGAGTGTGTTGCCGTTTTAAGTAAAGATTTTTCTAACCTATATAATATTTACAATAACAATCTTGGTTATAATATCTATAGCTATTAATAATGTTTAATAACCCCATTTTTCTTACTCTTTTTCGTATTAGATAGCATTTGTCGTCTTTAAATCGACGTTTCGTAGAGCACGTAAGGCTATCGTACGATTTCCATCTATATTCACAGTTTTCTTGTTGTAGTTTCTCAGAAATGCATTTTGATTTTTTTTACGTATACTTCAACATTGTCTAGTTATCTCTTTATGCTTGCATCTCTCTTGCTTCTGGTAATTTTAATAAAATTTCATTTGAAGACCTTTTATTTGACATTCCAGGAATTTCTTTGCGTTATGAGGTTTAATGTTACCATAGACGAGTTCGAAAATTTCATTACTATATTACTACCGACATGAACCATATTTTTTCTTAATAAGTCCGAATATATTTCTAAGAACCTTCCTTCAATTCTTATTTATATTAGCTTCGAAATCTATTAAACGCCATGTTTTACATTGAAGTAGACTACTGATCTTTTAAGCATTTTATATATTCTCATTTTTATAATTATGGCTCATATACCATATTTATTGGCCGATTTTGTAATTAAGGGCGACAATTTTATTTGCGGTGATTAGTAATAATTATACTTTAGCAACTCGTAATCATACTTGTTAGTTCTAAATAGAGCCAGATCATTTGCATACGTATGAAGCAGAATTCGTCTATTTAGTATGTTATTTTTTTTTTGACCTCGGCATCTTTAGATGAAGCACAATGCTTAATTATATTAAAAAACACTGCTGATAATGTTAGCTTGACTAACTTGAATTTGAAGTCAAGCATAATTGGATATTAATTTTGAACCACAATCCTTGCTGCTCTATTTTATAGCATCATTAATACCAACTGCGTTGCCTTGGTACTCCCTCCATAAATGAAGACTCTTTGATCTTTGGTTCGTTCAAGCGTTACTTTGTGTATTTTTTTAACAGTCTATGTAATAATGAAAGTTTGATTAAAAATAATTCTGCGTTAGCGGAAATCCTACTGATAACCTAATTAATAAAGTATTTACAATACTATTTACTAATTTTATGAAATGATGTTCTCACAACATTTAAGCTCATATTATAATGTCATATAACTCTGAACAAGCATTCAATGCATTTAATCTTTAACCTGAAATAGATTCCGGGTCAAAGGGACCGCAAAAGATATACAGTTTCCCATTACATCAATCACTCCTGATGTACGAATCCATTTAGCTTCAATCAAACTGACTAGGCATACAGAATATTTTAAAATAACTGACCGGAAATGGTGTAGTGAACATACTTATCCAACTACGCGTATGACATTGTCCGGCTGTGATCTGAAAAGTACAGAGCAACAGTTAGGACTTGCTGGCTACTCGTTGTCCGCACCGACCAATTAAGGGCTCCCTTAAACAATTATTGTAGCAGCTGAAGATTAGAGTAGGAAGAAGAAGGTATTACCGATCTGGTCCATCACTATCCGGTACTCGCCAAAAAGCGCACATTCTTTCTTAAAAGTCTAGCCAATGTCACTACCATAAGCATTAACGACTTAGCCTGCTTCGTAAAAACCAGGAAGTACTTTCCTAGTCCATTATGGGGGTCTGCTGGAATAATTAGCGTAGTTTTATAAATATATACACATTTACATGTTCATATCTATATATATATAAATTAAGGCATAACAATGGTCGTAATTTTTGGCCTTAAGTAAGCCAATCTTATTTATATAACGCGAGCTGCCACAAATACCTACCTACCTAATAATTTTAAGTAATATAATTAAAAATTGTTTACTTTTAAGTAATATTTTTAAAATAGTTCTGCAAATACTTTTCATAGTAAATGACATAAACAATAATTCATTTAACATTTATTATTTAAACTTACGTTAATAAACAAATGAATTATCATTATTGTTCACATATTTGATTGGATTCAATATTGTTATTTAAAATGTCGATTTTAACTATACTAGTTTCATTAATACCAAATAATTATTTGATTATCACGATTTTCAAATTTCAAAAATTTTATTTGATTTTGCAAATAGTTTTCAGTACTCACAGTCTCGACTCATTCCAGCGGAAAGACATTTCTTGAAACGACAATATTGGCACCGATTTCGATTTAAGCGAATAACTAAGCATTTGCCATCTCTAAGGCAACGATATTCGATTTGTTTTTGTATGCTGCGTCGAAAGAATCCCTGCGGATATTATAAAATGTAATTGGAAAATCGAAGATTAAATCGAAAATAAATTTAATTCGTACCTTACAACCTTCACAAGAAGTTACTCCATAATGATAGCCAGAAGCCTTATCACCACAAACTTTGCAGGGCACAAATGATTTCGAAACACTTGAGTTGGAATTTGAGTCCGCAATGGCAAATTGTTGATCTGCAATTTAGTTAATTGTGCTATTAATGAAAATGTTTTTAAAAGCATTAAATATTTACCAGAACTATTATTATTGCTTATTTATTTATTTCTATTTATTACTAAATACCAAAATATAAGAATTAATAAATGGCGCTAGTAAACGCAGTTGCTATTTTAATTACTCATACGCCGTAGAGTCCAATATTATAAAATAATTTTATTTTGTATTAAAAATTATTATAATTAATATAGGTATACTTAAATGTTGTATAATATCAATAGCCTAAAAAGTATGTATTTCTGTTACATAAACTATATACTATATTTTACTATTTACAATTATTACAAATAGTGTCAAAAGTATAAAAATATTGCTTATAAAATGATTATATATGATGGTAAACTATGGCCAACACAGTACATATAGTAATATAGTAGCAAATCAATAAAAAATATCTAAACCCATTCAAGTAAAATTGAAGCAATCTCATATATATATGTATATATATAAATTTAGATATGTCCCTAATTTATTAGCTAGCTGACGGCTATCTCAGGTCGGTAGAAAGAGGGTTTAATGATTTTTTATCTACTGGCTATAGAAAAACGCTAATGCTAAAGGCTAAAGATGTTGTTGCTTTTATTGTTTTATTATTGCACCCCCTACACAAGAATGTATAAAAAGAGTATATTAGGTTTATCAATATTTTAGTAAAGCCTTGAATGAGACGTCATAGACGCACTAAATTCTTTATATGCTTAATAAGAAAGACTAGTTCATTTAGTTTTGCCCGTTTGCCTGTGTATCTGTTTCAGTTCAAATCAGTCTCTCAGTTTTCGAACTATTCAAATAAAACTTGGCAAATACACTTTTTCAGACCGAACCTTAATCAATTGTAAGATGGACTACAATATCGAATAACTGCCACATAAACTATATAATCGAATGTGAGTTCTTCTTGTGAGTTCTTCTTAGAACTTAAGCATTATGAAATAACGTTTAATAGGATTGATAATAAAGACTTTGTAATAAAAATGGGGTTGATAGGATTAGGTTTACATATAGCTTGAATATAAACTGGCGATTAAGGAACATCTTTTTCTTAAAATTTCTTTTTCAATTTATTTGTTTTAAATTTAAAACTAAGGTATCTGGTTTAGAAGAAAATATTTGAAAATATACTATACTATTACATTGTGACCGAAAAGTTTCCGGAAATAAATAAATAAAACGCAAAATTCTTAATCTTCATCAATATTTATTTTATCTCCTTCAAAATATGCTCCATTAGAAGCGATACACAAATGCCAACGTTTCTTCCAATCATCAAAACATTTTTTATAGGCGCTTTCCGGTATGGCTTTGAGTTCCCTCTGCGAATTCTGTTTTACGTCTTCTATGGATTCAAAACGCGTTCCTCTGAGTGGTAATTTGAGGTTGGGAAACAGGAAAAAGTCACACGGTGCAAGATCAGGTGAATACGGTGGCTGTTCGATGGTATTTATTGAATGTTTGGCCTTAAAATCGTTGATAATGTTGAACAAATTGAGGTGAATCGGAACAAGCCGGGCGTTGACACGTCGCATACACAAATTGTCCACCAAAATCAAACGAGCCATCTCACGACCGATGCCTAGCTCTCGTGCTATCTCTCTAACACTCACATGAGGATTTTTGAACACGATTTCCTTTGCCTTTTCAATGTTTTCGTCGGTGGTAGAGGTCGAAGGTCGTCCAGAACGCGGCATGTCTTCGACGGTCGTACGACAGTCCTGAAAGGCTTTGTACCACTCATAAACTTGAGTTTTCGATAAAACTGATTCCCCATAAGCCTTTTGTAGCATTCGCAACGATTCTGCACACGAAATTTCGTTCGAAAAACAAAATTTGATGCAAACTCTTTGTTCAATATTTTTTTCCATTGTTTTTTTCGCAACGCACTACTGAGGTGAACTGGTTTCAACAGCTGCCGTAAACGAACTGTCTGACAGATCGCGATCATTTTTGGCATAGTAATTAAGGACAGTGCTGCCAAACTACATAAACTTAAAATATCGAAAAATATACAGCGCGCGAATTTTAAATGAGAATTTCCGAAAGCTTTTCGGTCACAATGTAAATACTTCAGATTCAAAAAACATATAATAGATGTTATTAGTCTTATTATATATTATATTATATGTATCCATTATCAAAAAAATATAATATAAATGTAATATAATATAAAATATAAATAATAATATAAAAATATAATATAATATATATTATATTATATGTATCCATTATCAAAAAAATGAGATACAAATGTAGATACAAAACTCTCTGCAAAGGATAACTAAGAGTTTGGCAAAGCCTAAGCTAACATCTCTATTTATTTTTAATTAACCATACATACGAAGACCATCTTTATTTTCCAGATCCTTATTTGAAGTACCAATAATAATCTTATCTAACTTAAGAATACAAAGTAAACAAAATATAAGACAATTTCGCGATTAACGTCTGGTAAGTCCGATTTATTAGAATTACAACCAAATATTTTTTAAATCAATTTTTTCTTAAAGACGAAGAAAAAACATAGCCTTAACTCATGTAATTAATTAAAAAAATTCACATTCTATGGAGTGCAACGAGCCCTCGAAGCTATTTCAAATGTTGAGAAGTTTTTCAACGGATTTTTTTATAGAATTCCATCTTTGGTTGGCAGTCCGTGTTAAAAATTGAAATGCTTTGAAGACTTTTCTATTGCTTTGTGATGCAAACCATAATGTGTGTTCGTACGCTAAATGCAAATGCAAATGCAAAATGCATAAAATGGCAAACGAATGTAAGACCATCAAAATTTGAAATTCAAATCAAATTGCAAGCAGGAATATATCAAATAAGATGAAAGACTTAAACCAATAACAGCTTCGAGGAATAGTTGACAGATGAAAACTGCATTGTAGCTATAAAATTGACTTCGACGAATAAAAGACAAATGAACTACTGCAGTTGTTGTAAAAAATCATTGTTGTTGTTATTGGTGCATTGCTTGCGTTGTGGCATTTGTAATAGTTGCTGCAATTGAATTTGCAATTGCCACACCTACAACATAACTCCATAGCACTCCATAGCATAACATACGAAGGAAGACTTCAACGAAAATAGCGTAAATAGCGAAAACGAGCAACTGCAATTTATTACTTTTTTGCCTTAATCATTTTTTCTTTCAATATTATTTATGCAGACAACAACAACAGCGCACCGTTTCAAAATTTCAAGCATTATCTTTTGGGTTGCATCTGCACCTTATAGTTCCTTTTTTATTCACTTGCGATTTTCTTTTTCGCTCTAATCTCTGCAATAGAAGCATTAGAATAAATAGCGTCAACGCCAACAGAAACAACAACTGCGTCAGTAACAGAATCATGTGCGACACTATAAGGAAGTGTTTTACATATGCGTGCTGATGTGGTTGGGAATATTTGTGCATGTGTGTGTGCAGCGAGGCTTTTTGCTTTGCTTTATATGCAGCTTCGTTGCTGAAGTGGCTTTTGCAATGTAAAATAAGTTTTGCTATGGGAGTTGTGTGTACATTCGGAATACGTTTGTTAGAAATGCGAATGTAAGCGTGAAGTGGCTCTGGAAGGCGAATACTAATGCGAAGGCAAAGGCGAAGGCGCATGGAATGTAAATCAATTGCTGTGGTCTAGTCGAGTTTTTCATGAAGTGAATTTTGAAGTATACACTCCTCCATACAAAATGCGACTGTATTTCCGTAGCATAAATCTTTCCCTTTTATCTATCATGTTTATTTTATCGCTATTGTTTACATTTTTGATTTACTGCAATTAACATTTTTACTTTCTGCATTGACATGCAGAAATTATGAGGAAATAATTGGTATTTGTGGATGTTTTGTATTGAAAGTCACAGATTCAAAAATGAAAAAAGAACTGTGCTTTTAGTTTTGGAAAATAAATAAATGTTTTTATTGATCAAGCTCATTTCTGGTTAAATTCGCTCTTATGTGAAAAGAAATTTTTTTGATGTAAACAGGCACTTACTTCTAACGAATTGAAAGCAGAAAGAGTAATGGAAGACACATTTATCTTCCTTGAAATATTAAAGTGTTTCAATTTTGCACTATTACGAATATACATATGTATCGTAAATTACCAAGGAAAGTACTTGATAAGCTGACCTTTTATTATTTCTACTCATTAAAAATAAAATGTTGAAATTTCAAAAAATTTGCAGCGAACGTATATAACTTGGGAACCACGTATTATTGACAACTTTAAATTCTAAGTTGAGAAAGACATTATTTAAGCACCAAATGTGACGCAAGTTTAGAGATTTAACGAAAAAACACTCTTCCAATAAATACTACTTTGTGCAAAGTCGGTATTTAAGAAGAAAGCCCTCTTTCGACAAGCAAAAATCACGCTTTATAAATACCATTCCATACTTATCCTGCTATATGGTACAGAAGCTTGTAGAATAACAAACTGTGATAAGAAAGCGCTAAGAGCATTCAGGAGAAACACTCTTTAAATGATCTTTGCTCACTTACGCGTTTGCAATGAGTATTGAATTAGATATACAATTAAAAGAAAATACTCCGGCTAGAAAGGTGTTTGATTCGGTTTCCGTTGATGGAAAATGCGCTAGAACACATTTGGGTAGAGAGCCAATAACCTAAGTGGAGCTTTAAGCTCAGTGGTGTAACCTAACCTAACATTCATAACTAACCTAACTCGTCATATTTATTATATAAATTTCTTTAACTTTTGGGAGAAGCATAGGTCCGTCATATTTATTACAGGTATCAAAAAAAATTTTTTTTGATTAACACTTTTTTAACAATATTATGAATTACCGTTACTATTACTAATAATTTTATAAAATATACATAAAACCTCTTTTGCTTTCCAAACCCCAGCTCAACTTAAAAATCAATCGGTAAGTTCAAATTCCCCACAGCCCACAAATCTATAATCATACATCACATTTTTGTGTAATTTATGTGACA